CAGCAAAGAAGAGAAGAGAAAAGGTAGCAACAGTGTCTCAAAGGAAGAGAAAAATTCAAAAGATTTCCTCCTCTGATACAGTGCTCAATGCAGTGATTCTAATGAGAAGCGACGAACTGTTTTCACTGCAGCTGCGCGCGCATTCACAATTAAAAAGCATGTGACGTAAGATCGAATCCAAGAATAGAACTTTAACGCAAGGACAGTTGTTGTTACGTGGTATTAGCCATTCAAAATCAGGCCACATCAATTATAGTTAACAGAAACTTGTTACCCCGTTTAGTCTTTGGAAGGGGACCTACACAGTCAATAACTACTTTACTGAAAGGCTCTCTTAACACTGGGATAGGTTGCAAGGGATATGGTTTGATGCCAGCTCCTGGCTTACCTTTTACTTGGCAGATATGGCACGACTGACAATAACGACTAACATCTCTTTTCATTTTTGGCCAATAAAAATAAGCTAAAATCTTGTAATAAGTCTTCTTGACTCCCAAATGACCACTAATGTCATGTGCAATATTTAAAACGTCAGTATGAAGGGACTTAGGAGTTACAATCTGATGTACGGTCTTTCTTGTATCGTCTGCAGATATATCATAGGGCTTATATTTACGCATAAGAACGCCTGACTGGAGATAGTAGCACACATGAGAAGTTTCTAGATCACTTAGGTCAGTAGGCCTATCATAAAATGCTTTTATATCAGGATCATTGTGTTGTTCTTCAATTAGCTTCTCTTTAGTAATTGGAGTGGCTTTGAAATTCACTATATCAGGATGGTCAGATGCAGGCTGACTTAAAACATTAGCTGATGAATTAAGGAAGTCTGCTAGTGTGACTTCCACTGTAATTACCTCACTTGGGCTCTCCTCTGTTCATGTTCATGGGAGTCAAGTGATTGAGAGTAATGTATAACATTTACTCATGTATATTTGTAATTTACTCATATTGTTTAAATAAGTACTCAACCCTAGGATAGATATTATTATATTTTGTATAAATGTATAAGTACATATAGTAAGTATATCATGTATAACTTCCTACGTATCTTTTATAGTCAGTTACTCATCATGAATGAGTACCGGGGCATGTGCCCAGGAGCCTGCCTCGAGGCTAGGGGAATTGCTGACTGCAGCAGTTTTCCCATATATAAGCTGGAGCGCGCCGGCGCCCAGCAGTACTAGTTCCTTTGAGATAAAGATTGTTATTTCTCGTAAGATATTTTTGTAAGGGTAACCCCTATATTATTCTATATTACAATAAATGTTGGTGGAAAGTAAGTGTTTTACTGTCCACCAACCAGTGAGTGAACGAGAAGAATTCGCAAGACGAAGAACTCAACATTGTTCTATAATTAGCACAAAGGAACCGAAATAACCGAACTAGGGCTCAATAGTGTAGTAAAATATTGGCCAGAGTAGTGCCAGTATATGTGGTGGCAGCGGTGGGATCCTGTGAATTTCTGTTTTTCAGAGGACTGAAAAATTGTGCGGGGGAAAAATATCCCTACGAAAAACTAAGTTCGTCAAGAACGAGCAAAGTGTTTATTTCACAGGTAGACCCACGTACCACGTAAGTATTGTTCACTTTCATACATTAAGTGAGTACGTAATTATAGGGTGTGGTTGGTTGCTATGCGAAGGAGGCGTAGCGTGAGTGCAGCGGAAATTTCCAGTGTTCATGAGCGGTAGTTGCCAAGCGTCACCACGAGTGAACGAGCGTGAGCGGTAGTTGCCAAGTGTTACCACGAGTGCGCGAGCACGCTACAGTGCGTGAGTTGCCAGCGTTCACTGGGAGAGCGAGAGAAGTAGTTGCCTAGTGTCAACAGGATTGCGCGGGTACACTACACACACACCCACATACACAGCGTATGAATGAATAAATGAATGAAAGAGTGAATAATTTCACATGCTAGTAGCTATGCTGATGTTGTTGTAGAAATTGTTATGTGTTTTAGTTACTAACAACAAGAGACGACCCGACAAGGTTGTCACGCAATACTACGTGTATAACATTGTATTACATTATATTGTACTAATTTTCATATGTTTTAAAGGTGTTGCAGCGACAACCACACGCATATATTGTCCATTGCCCAAGTATTCTTGGAAGTGTATTATTATTTTAGTAGGATTAGAATTGTAGTATTATAGTGAATATATATACTGGCTGTACCTTGGCCAGTATTTTACTTACACTCTTGAGGCTAGTCTTCTGTCTTTATTATTGTGCTACATATGTAGCACAATGTTAAATTCTTCGTTCACGAAGAACTTCTTATTCACTCACTGGTTGGTGGACAGTAAAACACTTACTTTCCACCAACATTTATTATAATATAGAGTTATATAGATATATAGGGTTTACCCTTACAAAAATGACACACTACTTGACTTAAAGTGAACTAACCTAACCTCTCGAGCGCCGGCGCGCTCCAGCTTATATATGGGAAAACTGCTGCAGTCAGCAATTCCCCTAGCCTCGAGACAGGCTCCTGGGCATATGCCCCAGTACTCACCCTTGCGGTGAGTACGTACTCATTCATGATAAGAATACAACTACAAGGATACATAGGAAACTAGATATGATATACATACTACACTATAAGATTACATAACATACGGAATGAGTATACATGAGCTTGTTAGGAGTAAATTACAATTATACATGAGTAAATGTTATACATTACTCTCAATTATTTGACTCCCCGTGACACTCCCCCGGTTAATATTCTGAACGTCCCGTTCAGTAACATAGTGGTCAATAGATAAATCATGGGAGTAGTGACCATGGGAGCAATACCTTACCTTTACACACAAGGCTACAGGGATAACTACTGCCAATATGGCCACAACAGATGAAATTGACGCTAGCCAAGATACATCTCTTATACTGTGATCACTCACCCGACTAAAGAGATCACCGTATCTATTCATGTTTGACTCGAGTACCTCCTGGGCCTCCATTAATCTACTTTGATTCCTGATCAAAATACTCTGTAAATTATCAATTAACCCTGACTTATTATGAAGCTTGAACTCCTGTAGACTTGTGGTAATACCAAAATGTGACATAGGTGATTTCAGTGTTTGTGATAAAGTGTATTGTATGTCACCTATGTCTACCTGTTTGATGTCCAGGACGTCATCGGGATATGAAATGACTCGTGGTGATTTCAAAGAAACCTCATCTACTCGAAGGGTGCATGACGCTGGTATGGATAATACTCCTGTACCATTTACTCTATGAGAAGAAGATTTGTCTCCACAGGTTAGTGTAGCGGAAGTATTAGTAATGATGGAGTAAATAATCTTCTCTGAACTAGGCATAAAGTGGAAAAATGGCTTGTAACTCTTAGTTACTGAAATACTACACTGACTTGGGATTAAATTAACCCTGACGCTATCGCGACTTATCAAGTTCAAAATACAACTCTCATCCGGACTATGAACCACTAAATTAATTGCCTGGCAAATATACTCCTTAATAGTGCGTCGACAACCTTCGAGTTGTCCTGGCTCAAACTCAATTACAGCGCTCGTGTTCCTCATTGGAACAGCGAAGTGTCGTGGAGTGTTTATTAGGAAGAAATGCCCATCCACTGGTATGGGTGTAGGATAGGGTGTATATAGAATCCATCTGTGATGTGTAGGAATGTGTACCAAAACCTTAAAGACAATAACATCGTTGCACCTGTACAACTGATTTACCTCCATGAAGGCCGGTAGATTGCCACTGGCAAATGGGGTCTTACCTCTTATTTCTTCCACGACATCGTCAGTGACGAGCTGCCGGGAAACTCTACCTTTAATTGCTTCCCCCACTATTCTACCTAAAGTATCGACTTCCCACAATAATTCGGTTATTCTACCTTCTAGTAAATTCAAACTGTTACTCAATAGTAAGAAATGGTGCAATTCCTCGAACTCTCTCTCTACTAACACACTCAATTCACTGACTTTAGATTCAATATCGCCAACCCTCGCGGAGGTGGCTTGGAAAGAGGTAAGTAGTCCTGCTACTATACTGGCCTGGGATTTCTGGAGGTGGATGACCTCCTTAACACTAGCGTCCAAATTCCGCACTAACCGTTCCCCATTTTCATCCATGACACCGAACATGTCGTGCATGATCAATCCCATGAACGAAAATACAGCCCGGGGTACTCGTCCGGAGTGTCACGGGGAGTCAAATAATTGAGAGTAATGTATAACATTTACTCATGTATAATTGTAATTTACTCCTAACAAGCTCATGTATACTCATTCCGTATGTTATGTAATCTTATAGTGTAGTATGTATATCATATCTAGTTTCCTATGTATCCTTGTAGTTGTATTCTTATCATGAATGAGTACGTACTCACCGCAAGGGTGAGTACTGGGGCAGATGCCCAGGAGCCTGTCTCGAGGCTAGGGGAATTGCTGACTGCAGCAGTTTTCCCATATATAAGCTGGAGCGCGCCGGCGCTCGAGAGGTTAGGTTAGTTCACTTTAAGTCAAGTAGTGTGTCATTTTTTGTAAGGGTAAACCCTATATATCTATATAACTCTATATTATAATAAATGTTGGTGGAAAGTAAGTGTTTTACTGTCCACCAACCAGTGAGTGAATAAGAAGTTCTTCGTGAACGAAGAATTTAACATTGTGCTACATATGTAGCACAATAATAAAGACAGAAGACTAGCCTCAAGAGTGTAAGTAAAATACTGGCCAAGGTACAGCCAGTATATGTGGTGGCAGCGAAGAAAACCTGTGTAATTGTTTTTCAGAGGACTGAAAAATTGCGCGGGGGAAAATATCCCCACGGGAAACATAGTTCGTCAGGAGCGAGCAAAGTGTTTATTTCGCAGGTAAACCCACGTACTCCAGGACGTTCGAGCAACGCAGGATAAGTATGAACAAGATGATTTTTTTTTTTTTTTTTTTTTTTTAAGATTTGCGAAGCAGAGCCTCGCCCGGGCTATGCCTATTTGGGGAGCCCGGTTATTAAACAAGATGATGAACAGACTCATGTAAGTATTGTTCACTTTCATACATTAAATGAGTACGCATTCATAGGGTGTGGTTGGTTGCTATGCGAGAGGAGCGTAGCGTGAGTGTACCAGAAATTTCCAGTGTTCGTGAGCGGTAGTTGCCAGGCGTCACCACGAGTGAGTGAGCGTGAGCGGTAGTTGCCAAGTGTCACCACGAGTGCGCGAGCACACTACAGCGCGTGAGTTGCCAGCGTTCACTGGGAGAGAGCGAGAGAAGTAGTTGCCTAGTGTCAACAGGATTGTGCGGGTACACTACACACACACCCACATACACATATTGTATGAATGAATAAATGAATGAAAAGGTGAATAGTTTCACAAGCTAATAGCTATGCTGATGTTGTTGTAGAAATTGTTATGTGTTTTAATTACTAACAACAAAAGACGACCCGACAAGGTTGTCACGCAATACTACGCGTATAACACTGTATTACATTATATACTGATTTTCATATGTTTTAATGGTGTTGCAACGACAACCACACGCATATAGTGTCCATTGCCAGGTATTCTTGGAAGAGTATTACTATATTAGTAGGATTATAAGTGCTTATTATAGTGAATATACCCCATAATAATAATAGTACGATAACACTTCGGAACACCGAGTGTTAGTGTAGTAGAGTGTATTACCTTCTCGTGCGACGATAGTGTGTTATTTGTTGTTTGTCGCATTACTGTTGTATTGTTTTGGCCGACATAGTCGCACCATTTTCGTTTTTGAGGGATTAATTTAAGAGAATTTTAATTCATCTCGAGGTCGCATAACGACACTACATCACCATGCCTGGGCCAGAGGAACTCATGGAAGTGGGAGCGGAACATGCGGAAAGACTCTCGCGCAGAAGCGAACAGCGAGAGCGAGAGCAAGGGGCGCGAGGGCAGGACCTTAGCACCCGAGATCGGGACCTCGCAGAACAACTACGAGAAGCTCAAGAGACTATTCGCCAATTACAGATGTTGATCCCGGCAGCCTCGTCAGAGCAGGGAGCGAGGCCGAAGGATCCGCCGTCATCGACGAAAGAAGTGCCGGTCAAGCAAGAACCGGCCACCCCTAGTTTCCCCATAGCTAGCCAGGTATCTGCTGTTCCTAATGTCATAGTGCCACGTTTAGCAGACTTAGGAAAACGTTCACTGATACCTCTCGAGTGGGGAGGTAAGGGAATTCCCCTTGCCCAGTGGGAAGCCCAAATTTTGAGGGAATGTGAATATCATCAGATTATGGACGACCGACCAAAATTGTGTTCGCGTTAAAGCACACGGATGAAGCCATCCATAACCATTGCAGTGCCCTGAACGTAAATAGTTTAGACTGGCATCAATTTGTTGGTCTCTTGGCGCAATTTTGCCCAAGCGATGAAAGCACAGGAGGTGCTGAATTTTTGCCAAGTGCATTTGACCTCCGAAGGTTACCAAATCAATCCTGGGAGGAATTTTCGAGAACAGCCCCATATTATAGTTTCTACTCTGATATATGCGAGGCCAGTCGCATAGCCGTCACGCCATGGCATAGGATGACTGTTTTACACGCCATGGAGAAAATAACTCCACCTGCAGCTACGGCCAAGTGGAAAAACCCTACCACAAACACGTGGAACATGCGGGAGATTGAGAAAATCACTCGCCTGGAGGACATTACCAAACATGTCGCGGCATGGGTGAACCGTCACCCAGTGGAGGATGCAAAGTTTTGCGAAAAGTTCGCAATCCCAACGAAAGCTTCAGGAAGGCCAATCAGGATGGCAATCAATGCCGTCAAAGTGGACAAACACTGCGATATTCACGGCACGTGTCGTCATGAGACGTCAGAGTGCCGGGATCACCCTGCCAATGCGGGGAAGCAAGCAAGCGGGCCTGTCAGACGAGGGCGAGCCCGAGGAATTTCTACATTAGGAAGACCCCAGCGAGGAGCACCTCGCGGGAGAGCTACTTTTCCCAGCCGAGGAAGAGGCTGGAATGCAGGAAGAAGCTGGAATGCCGGAAGAGGCAGAAGTACAACTCAGAACCTTTCCTGTTTCTACTGTGGCGAACAGGGACACTTTGCCATGATGTGTAACAAGAGAAACCAAGACATAGAAGAGAGGAAGAATACGGAAAAAAGGCCGGAGCCAAAAAACGGAGGAGAACAACCTCCACAGGACGGTGATGAACTACCGGTTCTCACCTATGGGTGCGACCTGGCGCCATACCTGGTCGCGGACTTTATGGTTAGCACGATTCCAATCAAAGGATTAGTGGATAGTGGAGCCGTACCGAATATCATGCAGCTACCACTATATTTGAAGATTAGGGAACACTTAGAGGGGATTGTACTGCGACCCTCAAATGTCCTTTTAAAGGGTGTCACTGGCTACCCCGTTCCAGCAGACGGCGCAACAAGCATACCTTGCTGTCTGGGTAACGTAGAACTAGAAATAGATTTTCTAGTCGTACAACCGGAGAGACTACAACTTCCCGGAGAACTGCAAGTGTTGCTTGGAGTAGCGTGGCTACGACAAGCTGGGGTACAGATCGATTTTGAATCCGGTTATGTATACCGGAAGAACGCATATTTGCTAACATGCCATGCAGGTAATCCGGCAGGAGCAACAAAACAGATTGATGAGGAAAGTACTCGACTATTGCCTCTGAGTGCTGCAACAACGATTAGTGAAACTACTTCCACGAGATGTGCACCAGAACCTTCCACAAGAAGTACCAATGAGTCATCCACGAGTTGCAACGTTTCCACGAGAAGCCATCCCACGAGAATGAAGACGACAGAGATTGGGCCCATAAGAAGTACTGACATGTCAAGGGAAATTATCCTTCTGGTAAACTCGGACGACGCCGCGGAAATCATTCCGCCTAATCAAGCAGCTGCGATACATGTGGAGTGTCCGAGACTAGACGATTGGACTCAAGGAGCAACCAGTGTCTTAGTGAGAGGAAAGAGACTAGCTAACGACGTCTTGCTGATCGACAGCGTGCACAATACGCAAGATAACAGACTAGTGGTTAGTATCTGCAACCATTCAGCACAACCTTATCAGATACCAAGACGTATCTCGACCACAGTCGAAGCCCTCCAGGAGTTAGAATGTGCTGAAGGAGTGGTAAAACCAGAGGATTATATTACCATGCAGCAGAGGCAGAAGATGTACACATTAATGAGCATCTTGCTAGAAGCAAAAGAATGCCCCGAGCAAGAGGAGATAGACGACCCTCTACACCAAGAGTTAAACGCGTTCGACCCCAACAAAGATAGTAAAGATGTTGTGGAGTACGATGAGGGGAGACTTCAACGTCTTCTAGAGAGTCTCAGAAGTCATGAGTGGAAGCTGTCAAATACACAGCGGCGAGAGGCGATACAACTGCTTCGCGAGCATCAAAAGGCTTTCAATTTGAAGGGAGAACCCTTAGGTAAAACTCACCTCATCAAACACAAGATAATAACGAAAGAGGAAGAGCCCGTGTTCGAGCACCCCAGGTATGTTCCTTTAAAGGCACGCACGAGTGTGGAGGACGAGATCGGGGGTTTGCTAAAGCAGGGGCAGATCCGGCTTTCAACGAGTCCATGGAACGCACCGATTGTACTGGTAAAACGCAAGGACGGAAGACCAAGGCTGTGTGTGGATTATCGACGGCTTAACAAAGCCAGTAAATTCAATTACTTTCCTTTGCCAAAGATCGAAGAAATTATTTATGAGTGTGCTGGAGCACAGCTCTTTTCAACACTAGATCTTCGATCAGGGTATCACCAGGTACCCATGGAGGAGACCAGTATCGAGAAGACTGCATTCTCGACACACCAAGGGCACTACGAGTGGCTCGCGATGCCATTCGGACTCTCTGGAGCCCCAGCCACCTTTCAGAACATGATGACGAGGGTTTTGGCTGGATTGCTTGGTAAAGGTATATCCGTCTTCCTGGATGACGTAGCTGTTTACCATAAGTCGTTCGAAGACCATCTGCTAGGTCTAAAGGAAGTGTTAGAACGACTGATAGATGCCCAACTTCAAATTTCGCCAGAGAAGACGAAGCTGTTTGCAAAGGAAGTCGAACTTTTAGGACACACAGTTGGGAATGGACTCGCAAAACCGAATCTCGACAAGACCGAGGCGGTCAAGAATTACCCCACGCCAAGGACGAAGAAGGAAGTCCAAGCCTTCTTAGGACTCTCGGGTTACTATCGACGTTTTGTCATGAACTACGCCCACATAGCCCGACCCCTGCATACACTTTTGTGCAAGGACGCAGAATTCGTATGGGGTGACGAACAGCAAGAAGCATTCGACACCTTGAAAGAGAAGTTGACGACGGAACCAGTCCTACAAGCACCGAACTTCACGAAAGATTGGTTCATTTTTACCGATGCATCGAAGAATTGTATCGGCAGTGTGTTAACACAGCTGACAGAAGTGAAGGGCAAAGACAGATACCTGCCTGTCTGTTATTATAGCAGAGCACTAAGGGGAAGTGAAACGAACTACCCCACGATGGAGAAGGAAGCCCTGTCAGTCATAGAGGCGCTCAAGAAGTATCGACCTCTGATCTACAATAGTCGTGTGGTTATATTCACCGACAACAAAGCATTGTGTTGGTTATTCGAACGTGCCCACGACCGGAACACAAGAATTTCCAGATGGGTACTGTCTCTACAAGAGGCTAAGGCCGAAGTTAAGTTTATACAAGGGGAGAAGAATATTGTGGCCGATAGGCTCAGCCGCATCAACTTCAACGTCACCAACACAACACAGGCCAGCAACAAGTTTGATGTAGACCCCCTGGCGGTATGTTTCATGGAGGAGCTAAGCAATTCCAAGATTGAACTTTTCGGGAACGTACAAGTTACACCAACGGGAGAAGGGGAGGAACCTCAAGACATGGGTTGGACCCCTGAAGAGTTATGGGACGCTCAAGCAGCGGATTCCCTCTATGGCCCCGTTGTTAGTTATTTAAAGGGTCGTGAACCAAGCGATCTGCAGAAAGTGGACCCCAAGTTAAAAGGAAATATAGGTGATTATTTTCTGGATAATAATATCCTTTACAAGAAGCAAGTGGCCAAAGACGCATCACTAAGAGGAATCGAAGAAGTCATCGTGGTACCACGACAGTTAGTAAACAAGGTGCTACATATGACCCATAGCAGCCCCTTGGCAGGCCATGGGGCAGTACAACGAACATTGTTCAAGACGAAGAGACTGTTTGCGTGGATGGGTATGGAGCGTGATGTCCGTCAATATGTCGCCTCCTGCCTTGTCTGTCAGCGATTCAAGGGAAACACGCATCCCTTGTGTCCTCTCGGAAGGTATCCGGTACCCGACCGCAAATTCCAGTCCATAGCGGTAGATTTGATTGGCCCATTACCCCTCACCGAGGAGGGTAACAAGTATATCTTGACGTGCGTGGACTACCTCACACGTTATACCATTGTGACCCCCTTGAAAAACAAGGAGGCCAAGGAGGTTGCAAATGCAATCTGGAGTGAGTTAATATGTAATTGTGGCCCACCAGAAGTGATCATCAGCGACCAAGGGGCAGATTTCAGGAACAAGATCCTGAAGAGATTAGCAGAATTGGGAGGATTCTCTCATAGGATGGTCACATTTTATCACCCGGCAAGCAATGGGTTGGTAGAAAATCATAACAAACAGCTCATCTCTATTTTAAGAAGTATAATTGATGAATTATCACCTGCAGATTGGGATAAGCACCTGAAGACAGCGCAGCTGGCACTCAACAGTGCATATAATAGTTCTATTGACGACACACCATACTATGTGGTGTACGGATCCGATCCCATAATCCCGCATGCGGCAATGACGAATTTATCGTCGAGATACAATCTAGACGAGAGGGCCGCTGCAACCTACAAGATTTACCAGACCGTACGAGATAATCTCGAGGCGGCTGCGGATCAACGCGAGCAACAGCGGAGGAGGACAGCTAAGGTGACAGAATTAAAGGTAAACCAACGTGTCTACTGCAAGCTACCAAGGAAGAAGGGTGACACTAAGTTCACCCGGAAATGGAGAGGTCCATATAGAGTACTCTCCAAGGTCAAAGACAATGTCTATCAGCTAGAAGAGCTGGAGACCAAGAAGAGAACAAGAGTGCATCTAGAGATTTTGAAGGTCATACCGGAAGCAACTGTTTCCCGCGAATTGGTGCCCGACGCCAGAAGACCCTTCAGATCCCCCCAAGACAAAAGTAGGAGAACTTCCGGAGTTGACTCTAGGGACGGGGATGATGAAGTAGACGAGTTACAGACTGATCGAGATGATGATAGTAATGAGGGTCATAACTATACATTAGATGATGTTCTTAACGGTAATGATGATTCTGACGCAATCAGTGGCGATGGACACGAGACGTCGCAAACACAAACACAAACACAAACACCCCATGATGGTATTTTGCATAATAATAATGTCTTTGTTCCGCCTGAGCCTAACTGCATGGAGGATATTGAGGGCCTGAGTGGGGAAGAGACAGATGAGTCTGAGAGTCAGAATGTTGAGGATGTGGAGATGAATGGGCAGGATATTTCTGCCGAGCATGTGGATAGGAATGTGAGTATGGAACATCCGAGGCGTGAGACCCGGGGCCGCACATACGGTGCCGGTTATTATAAATTACTTCATGAGGGTAAATTATAATATATGCATTGCATGTCAACGTCGCTAATGATAGATGTAGAGTTGAAAGCCATGAACTAATCAACCAAACAAGTACACTTCTATCTTTTCGATCTTTTCTACCTTTACCTTATATCAAGCCATTTTGTTGTATATTTATACTTGACTATTCCACAGATTGTGTATACTGGTATGTATAGTGGAGATGATGGAGATGCCGGACCCAGGCAGGGAACCCCTACTGAGCCCCGGTGTTATTACCCTGAAGGAGGACAGGAGTCTTCTTCTGACCGAGGTCAACTGGCAACTCATCCGGGTACAGAGACTTGCCCCCTACGAGGAGTTAGCGCTGAAGCTTACCTCCACTCTGGAAACACTAGAGAAGATTATGAGCAAGGGACCGCGGAGTCAAGAATCCCAGAATCGCCCCCTGGAAAGGAAGTTCATCCGTGCTCTAGAAGAAGGACTTCTTGCTCAAGTGAGGGGGGCACAAGGTGTTCTCCACAAGGTCAGAAACGATATTGTCGATCTACTTGAAAACATTGAACTCTATCAAGGGTGTCATTCCGGACGAGTACCCCGGGCTGTATTTTCGTTCATGGGATTGATCATGCACGACATGTTCGGTGTCATGGATGAAAATGGGGAACGGTTAGTGCGGAATTTGGACGCTAGTGTTAAGGAGGTCATCCACCTCCAGAAATCCCAGGCCAGTATAGTAGCAGGACTACTTACCTCTTTCCAAGCCACCTCCGCGAGGGTTGGCGATATTGAATCTAAAGTCAGTGAATTTAGTGTGTTAGTAGAGAGAGAGTTCGAGGAATTGCACCATTTCTTACTATTGAGTAACAGTTTGAATTTACTAGAAGGTAGAATAACCGAATTATTGTGGGAAGTCGATACTTTAGGTAGAATAGTGGGGGAAGCAATTAAAGGTAGAGTTTCCCGGCAGCTCGTCACTGACGATGTCGTGGAAGAAATTCTTATTCACTCACTGGTTGGTGGACAGTAAAACACTTACTTTCCACCAACATTTATTATAATATAGAGTTATATAGATATATAGGGCTTACCCTTACAAAAATGACACACTACTTGACTTAAAGTGAACTAACCTCTCGAGCGCCGGCGCGCTCCAGCTTATATATGGGAAAACTGCTGCAGTCAGCAATTCCCCTAGCCTCGAGACAGGCTCCTGGGCATATGCCCCAGTACTCACCCCTGCGGTGAGTACGTACTCATTCATGATAAGAATACAACTACAAGGATACATAGGAAACTAGATATGATATACATACTACACTATAAGATTACATAACATACGGAATGAGTATACATGAGCTTGTTAGGAGTAAATTACAATTATACATGAGTAAATGTTATACATTACTCTCAATTATTTGACTCCCCGTGACACCTGCCGGGAGCTTCAAGTATATTTCATGTTTTAAAGTTAATATTTTGTGTATGTTTATTGTTCTATTTTATATTCCAGTTTTGTATCTTATATTTCATATATAAAAAAACTCAAATAAAAATGGTAAAATAACAAGCTTTCTGTAACCCTTCAGGAACGATCTTAATAACCGTTGGGTCACAGAGTATATTTAATTGTTGGTTTCCAGTTCTTCCTATGTAAAGAACTGGTGGTGGCAGTGACTTAATTCGTAATAGGTGTGAGATTGATTTCATTTTACAGATTAATCTATATCGGGATTACGACACAGCCATGAAGTCGCAGTTCTACCTACCACCACCAATACTTCCTCGTTACTATCAAAAGTAAGTGTACCTATTCGTGCCAGATTAACTACTGCCCTCCCTATACACACCTACACCTTGCATACAAGTTGCCTTCTTTCAAATTCAAGTACACACCACTCAACTCCATAATACTGAACTCTTGCTGTCAACCATTGTTTTCTCAACACAACAAACGAAGTCACACAGAGATCAAACCAAAGTAACACACATCACACCTCACACCTCATTCCCCTTCCCTAACTATATTTTAATTTTAATTGATATTTTTCTGATATTGGTGTTTTATCTAATGTTTATTATTGTTGTCCTCACATTCCAGCTCATTATATTTTATTTTCTCTCAGAACAAGTAAGTATGTATTGACGTGTTCGGTTTCCCCGTTATTTTATTCATATTTACTGCGACGATTTTCGTTGTAATATTACTGTTTTCACCTGCATACCGTACCCTACTAATAAGTGCTTCGTAACTACTTCCTCTATGAATGTGCGTATATCGTTCTGTCTTTCACAACATCTGTCTTTTCTTATACTTCCCACACTAATCGTTCGCTTCTTCACACATAGTTGATTACCTGCCTTAGACCCAAACCCACCTACCTGCCACTCCACACGGATTTTACTTACCAAGTGTCATCCCTAGGACCTTCAAGTGAACCCAAATCGATTTCATGATGTTTTTTCTAAGTTCGATATCTTATCCTCATTTATGCTAGAATTTATGCTTCTTTAATTTAAGGAACTGGTGAATATGTAACCTATATCTGACTGATGGTAGTCTCTTCTGTTGCAAATAACCATAACGCTGTTAATGCATTACAGACACCATACTTCATATAGGCTTACATAGTTATTATCACCGCAAGTTAACTTTAAGCCCGGCTCATGGCCTTCACCCAGGGACACGGGGTCATCTGGGGGGGGGGTCTCATATCTATCTTCAAAAATAAATCAGCAAGCTAAGACCCCATTTCATTTGACCCCCCAAAACCATCTCTCTTACGCTTACGGTTATTCTTTGCATAAATACATTTCATATTTACATTTGAGTATTAAGTACATTTCATATTTACATTTGAGTATTTAAGAAATGTTCTTTTAATTTTGTTTTAAAATTACAGAATGTTCCATAACTTGGGTTCACGTGTTTCCATTTGTCATGCCCGTGTATAGGTATTCGATCTCCTGACAAAAATGGAATTTACTCGACGTGTCTCTGATGTGTTCCCAACGGTTTGCAAGGGCATTAACCATTTCGTTTAATTCCCATGAATCAGTTTGTAAATGAATACACATGTGTCATAGCTACATTTAGAGCCATTTAAATGTTTTGATGTGCGGAGTGATGTGGTCAAGTTTATTGATATTAGCTAATGCTACTCTGGCAGCAAAATTTTGTAATTTTTGCACTTTTTGCATCTGGGTTTTGTCATCGAACCCCAAACGTTTGAACAATAGTTAATTATGCTTAGAGCTAGAGTTTGTGCAACTATGATTCTTGTTTCAGTAGTGATCTGATTTCGTAAGTGATTAAGATATACCTGGGTATCCAATACTTTCCTGTGTGTTTTGTCAACGTGTGGCTCAAATGCCATGAATCTGTCTAAGTGTACTCCTAGATTATTCACTGAAGTGCTCGGTTAGATAGAGCAGTCTTTAAATTCTATGGTTGTGTCACTGGGAATTTTAGCTATGTTCTAACGACTGCCTATGAATATACATTGGGTTTTATGTGGATTTTGTTTAAGGCCATTAGTGTCAAAACATAATTTTGTTTGTGTCCGAGTATCTTGCGTGTTTCTTATTAATGTATTTGAGTTGTTTACTGAGTCACTATGAAGAAAGTGTGAATCATCGCCGTACTGGATTAGAAAGCAGTTGTAGGCTAGTGTTGATAAATAATTTATGAATATTGTAAATAGGACCTAAAATAGATCCTTGCGGAATGCCAAAAGGTACTTCTTATTTTAATGACATATCATTATTGATTCTTACCGATTGGGTCCTTGTATATTGATAGTGTTGACCATTTCATCAAAAGCCTTAGAAAGGTTGCATAATGTGAGGAAATTTACCAGATTTTTGTCTGTTATTATAAATCTCATCGGTAATTTGCAGTAAAGCTGTTTTAGTAGATAACCTATTTGTGTTACAGATAATAATGTTGTGTTTTAGAGAATAATGTATTTTAGATAATAAGTTATTGACCTCCAGCAAACTCGTCAGTTGATTTGCTACAATTTTTTTCAAGAATCTTGGATAATATAGGGAGTATAGTAATAGGGCGATAATTATTGACATCGTTTATATTCCCCGACTTGAAAATTGGTGTTGCTATACCATGCTTCCCAACCGATGGAAAGACACCAGTGACCAGAGAGGTGTTAATAATGACCGTCAAATAATATACAGTTGCGGGTAGACTATCTCTGATAAAGCGCAAAGCAATACTGTCTACTCCCACAGCATTTGTTTCGCGAAGGTGTTTTATTACTAAGGTGATTGTCTCTACGTCCACTGGTTGTGGTCTGAAAAAAAAATTCTTGAAAACAATTAATTAAAATGGTCTGTTCTTTGTATGGGACTTGTGCAATCACTAGTGAGGTGTTTGTTGTGGGGCACTAGTGTATTAACAGTTTTCCATATCTTATCAGAGTTGTTCTTATATTCTGTGAATTTATTTCTGATGTAACTTTTTGCACATTCAATTGGCAATTTTACATTTTTCTTTTTTGCTTTGTAATCTATTTGAAAGGCAGCCTCATTTCTGTTACTTTTAAGAGCTTGGTGGGCATTATTTATATCGCTAATGGCTCTCTTGATGTCGTCATTTATCCCTGGAGCAGGGGGACGGTTCGTGTTACGTAGGGAGCCAACGCATCAATGCTTCTTTTGATAACTTCCGTAAGGATAGTTACTTGGTTGTTTACATTATCTGTCAATGAAATATCTGACAGTCATTTCTCTGGACAAGATAAGCTCGCAAAAAGATTGAGGGTCGTAGTGTTTGAAATCGTGAAAAAAAGTTTTTATTACTGGTGGTCTCTTTGTTTTCTTAATATTTAACGTCATCGTGATAAGTTCATGGTCAGCAACATGGCACGGGATGACATCGAAGTGGAGAATGAGGTCTGATCTGTTAGTCGTTATCAAATCTAATAGAGAAGAGGTGTTTTCTGTAATTCGTGTAGGTTTATCTATCATTTGTTCTAATTTATTTTTCTTTATCATCTTTGCTAACTTAGCATTAGATTTTGTTAAGTCATCATTTAGGTCACCTAAGATGAAAAGCGATTTCTTTTTAAAGACATTTCTCTTTTTAAAATATTCATTGTATTCAAAAGATTCCGAGGTAGTATGGGGGTGCCTATAGACAGCGCCAATAATAAAGGAGAGAAGCATGTTGCTTTGTACGGTAACCCAGACATCGTCTACGGCAGTATTATTTACTGCAGTAGTAGATATCCAGTTTGACTTAGTGGTATCCCGTACATATATACATACTCCTCCTCCTCGCCCTGCATCACTTCTATAAACTATAAAATTTGGAATCTTTATGAAGTTACTAACTATTTCCTGGTGGAGCCATGTTTCACTTATGCATAATATATCTATGATTCTCTCCTCACCTAGCGTTACCAGCGATCTAGTCACTGGTAACGCTGACGGCGTTGCCTTGTCAAACATCTGATCGCGCTTGTACTTGTTTTTGTTTAAGAACATTTTAACATTGTCGGGAAAAGTATAAGTCTATTGTCACGATAATTACAGCTAATTAACGTAACCGTATATAGATAAATATAATTCTCCCATATACAGAAGTATAAGCATTAGCGAATGAGAGGTGTGACTGCTGGATGAAAGATTAGGTGTTAGTTCTGCTTGTTCGCATATGCAAATATTCCCGCTGCTATTGGTTGTAGCAGGTGTCTTAGGCCTAACATGCCGTAAGGTAAAGAGATCGCTGTTCACCCCCAGCTGAAGAGGACGTGCTCTCGACTCCTTGGAAAGACATTCAATTTAAAGTATAATTAAATATAATTGATATTCTCGCATCTGATAAGTTATAAAAGAACATCAAAGTGCTAACAGATAAACTAAAATAAAAAAACCGTGCAGTGTGAAATACGTGAGTGCGAACAGTGAAGTGACTGTGTTAGTAATGTTTTGCTATAATCTAGGGTTAGGATTAACTTGTATTATGCGGAAGGTGAGTGAGTGGGGTGAATGTGTAGGGCATCTTCCATTGATCAATGTATTGTGTGCTAAGTGAATAAATAAATAATAAGTGAAGTTATTCCGTGCATTTGTTTCCATTTATTTATATCAGTGACTCGCAGTTTCCTTCCTCAATAAACGAGGGTAAAACTAGAAGAAAGTGATATTACAGACCTTAAAATAATAAATTAATAAGTAAGTAGTATTGCAATCACACTTATCATATGGAAAGTAAAACATATAATTCATAATTCATGAAACGAACGTTATTGCTCACGAAATAAAATATCTCGAGCTGATGAATATATTCCTTAATAACGGAATGCATATGAAATGACTTATTCCTCGAGTAAGTGATGAATATATAACTCCCATAACTAAATACTCATAATATAAATAAAATCTTGAGTATAGTGTGACATAGGGACATAATAAGGACATAAGGCTCGGGCTCTATGTCCTTTCCCCTTACTGACACCGTGAAGCTGGTGTAGTAGTCATGTGTCATCACTGTCTTGTGGGCTTTTACACTTGAAATGTTTTGAAACTTTTCTGGTAATAGTTGTTCTATGTCCTCTTCGTTTGTGTCTGGGTGACAACTGGTGATGTACAGGTAAACTGTGTCTGGACGATCTGTTCCCTTTAACGGCTTTGGTGTTTGATGTTCTCTGTCTTTTTTGTCTTTTCTTCTCTGGTTTCTTGATGACTTTGGTTACATTGTCGTGATCTACAAAGTTAACTTCGTGGTGGGCTGCCACCACCTGGTTAATTCGTCCAGGAACGTATGTGTCGTGTTCGGAAAGTAAGAGGCATGTAGAAGAATGTAAGTAAAGTTACAAGAAAGCAAGTGTAAGTGTAGAAAGTACGAAGGTACGAGGGTCAACACTGATTAGCGTGAATAAGGCCGAGATGGAGTGCGTGACGATTGTACAGACTATGGTATCAAAGTTAAATCTATTTACTTTAAAGTCCTTGGACGTGAAGGGGAAACATTATGGACTCAGTAAATACATTTTACACACAAAAGTTTATTAAAAGTATAAATTCTTTACTTCCAAGACAATAAAAAAATGGAGAATCACCCCCCCCCCCCCATATTCCAAACACAAGTGGGAGTAAAAGTGCAAGACAAACTGACGTAAAAAAAAATAACCCTAAACTTCAAACACGTAAATGAGAACTGGTAAAACAAAGATAAACAAGATAAAAAGAACACTGAACCGTTAAGATTAAAAAGAGAACACTGAACATTAAAATTGAATGCGAAAAAGTAAATGAACTCACTATAAACACTGAACAGCAAAGAGAAAAAAGAGCACATCACCTCATTAAAAAGAGCGAAAAAAAAGTAAAAAGATGCCATCTTACCGCCTCTTACTGTGTAAAACCTCGCGACCAGGGACTAAACGCCTCATGGCTAGAAGATGCTCAACCCCCCCCCCCCCCTTGACCTGGCCATTCGGGATCTATATATAACCCTCCCAGCAAGCATGAATGAAAAAATGAGGGGAATCTCGGGTCAAACCAGGTGAAGGTCGCGTAGCTGTTAAGAGATGGTGGTGTCTTCCCCTCTTAATAAAATGCCGTTTCCCCTTTAAAAAAGACCATTTGATTTAAAAGACATCTCAAAATATGTAAAAGAGTTATTAAAACTTTACTAGAAAAAGAGTAAAAAGATTATATGATCCACCATGAGGCACAATGTGCTCTTTTGTGCCGTTTAGGTAACAGATAACGATAATAAAAATACAAATCAATATAATTCACAACATAAAAACATTTACAACACCATAAAAACACATGCAACACCACAACATTTTCCCCTCCCCAGCTTCCCGGACACGGGTCATCCACGGGTATGGGCGGCCGTGTTTGCTTTTCAGAGGGGAGACTCTTTCCTTCGATTACTCCGCCACTTGGCTGGAGATTCACCACAACATAACCGTCTTCATCAACATCTTGTGTGGATCT